CTGCGGCGCCCCCTGCGGCGTAGACTTTGTGTTTTCTGCCTAAGGTGAAAACCACAACACTGCGAGGGTCAAAGGTCAGGAGCTTCAGACTCTAATCAGGACCTTTACATCATGCTTACACTCTTATCCTGAAAACAGGATCTCTCATTTCAGGGGTCTTGAACTCCAGGCCTCGAGGGCCGGTGTCCTGCAGGGTTTAGATCCCACCCTGGGTCAACACACCTGAATCACATGATTGGTTCATTACCAGCCTCTGGAGAGCTTTATACATGTGAGGTCATTTAGCCATTTAAATCAGCTGTGATGGATCAAGGACACATCTAAACCTGCAGGACACCGGCCCTCGAGGCCTGCAGTTCAAGACCCCCGTCTTATTTTAACCATCAATCAGCACCGTGGACTGGGTGGGGCCTACCTGACCAATCAGGTTGATAGACGACTCCATGTGGCGAAGCTGATTGGTCTGGGCATCAAGCAGACTCAGGACGCTACTGGCCAGAGTGCTTATCTGGTAAGCGACGCTGGCCAGCGATTGGGCGGTGAACTTTTTTGTTTCTTCCAACGCCTTCACACTGCCCTCACCACCCTGACAGAGACACATCATGGTTAGCTTGGCACAAGGGCTGGAGGCAAAGGGAAGCTGTTAGCCTAGCTTAGAACAAGACTAGCTCCTGATTAGTACCTGTATGTAGTTGTTGTAGCAGTAGTCGGCCACATTGAGCAGATTGTCGTAGTTTTCCCTCAGAGCTTTTCTGGCATTAGGAGCTTCTTCCAGGATCTTCATCACATCCTCGTTTAAGTTCTGATCCTTCATGATTCCAAGCTCAGCTTCTACAAACTAATCCTTAAGAGCAGCACAAACATGCAGAAGAAACCAGAGAGCAATAAGAACCAACCAGAGCCAGGATCAAGCAAAGTGACTAAACTGGGCCATTTCAGTGAGAGATAGTCAGAAAATTTAGAGTAGAGTGCAATAGAAAAGTGCTGTTAATCAGAGTAGAGTGCAATAGAAA